GCTGAACCCCTGTGTAACCTGATGAATAAGTCATTCTCATATTGAATATTCCCTTATGCTGAAAAATCCAAAGGAATACCAATTTTTAAGGACAAAGGATCCGCAAATGATATAAAAAGCTATAGAGTGATTTGCATTCAAAATCAGATTTCTAAAATTTTTGAGTCAGCATACTGCAGCAATTAACAAATTACTTGGAATGTTTCAAACTTATTCCTGATATACAACATGGTTTTGGAGAAAAACAATCCACCATAACTACTGTTCATGATATAATGAAATTTTTGTACAAAGCACTCAATAATAAAGAAAAGGCACTATATTTTTTTTACGACCTGAGTCGTGCGTTTGACACGATCGACCGAGATCTATTGTTTTGAAGCTCTCGGTGTGCCTGGAGTACCTCTTGACTGGGCGAAGTCTTATCTATCTGAGCGTACACAAATAACAGTGTATGACAACTCAAAATCGCAAACAAGAGAATCTAACCTAGAAGTACCCCAAGGCTCAATATTGGGACCCTTGTTCTTTATAATATTCACTTCAGACATAAAAAATACTGCAATTATCCTGAACAAATCTTACTGTATGCTGATAATACAAATATTCTGATTCAAACACCGACATTGAACAATTAATTGTGAATAGTAATCGAGCCTCTAGCGAGCTTTATGAATATTGTGCTCAGAACGGTCTGCAATTGAATATGCGGTTTTTACCAAGGAATATTACACATGACCAAAATCTTTACCTACATATCAATGGAAAATCAATTGAAGCTACAGAAACAATGAAATTTCTGGGTGTTGCACTCGATCAAAAATTAACATGGGAGGCCCATATAAAAACTGTATGCTCCAGACTAAGCACATGCTGTTACATGAAAAGGCAGATCAGAGACTCTGTTCCTTTTAATGTACTTAAATTACTATATTATGGACTTGGTCAGTCAGTTCTACAATATGGATTAGTATTCTGGGGTTCCTCACCACATGCTGATGAGGCATTCAGAGCACAGAAAAAAAATATTAAGAGCTATTTTCAATGTCCATCAACTGTTAACATGTAAAGACTACTTGAATTTCACTTGTATTTCAACTGTATGTTAATTATCTAAAATGCATATTTACTTTCCATTTTTCTGACTAGTCCTATGAAGATGCATCTGTCTTTGATCTTTGTTGATTGAATATTTATGTATTTTTTTGTGATGGATAAATTGACTTGATTTGATCTGTTCCACCATCACTTTGGAGTAACCATGAATCCCTCTTTTGGTCGATTGATTGAGGTTGAATTCATGGTTCAGATACTGTCCTGTGTGAATGGGTTTATGGTATACAGATGTTTCCCACTTAGTGTCGGTCCTCTTCACCAATAAGTCTAAGAATGGCCATTCGTTGTGGACTTCCTTCTCCATTGTGAAAGTGATGGAAGGTCTTACGCTATTGATATGCTTCAGGAAGGTGTCTAGTTCTGCATTCCAATGGATCCATATTGTGAAGGTGTCGTTAACGTCAACATGAGTTCCCGCCCACTTACGGATATAGAGGAATCCTAGTTGAGGTGAGGTCTAAACTTAGCCATTGCGTCAACATATGTACATACTTTGGAGATAAAAACTGCAGTGGAATCCACCAGTTCCCTTTTTGATCATATGTAGGCAGAAGAATTTAGATGGAAAATCAGAGAACAGCTGGATCGAGAATCAGTTCAAACATCTTACATCAGAAATGAACAACGTAGAGCTCTGAACGGCCTACACAGAGGTAACACTATGAAGATCCTACCTGCAGATAAGGGAAACGCTACTGGTGTGATAGATACTGATCTCTACAAAGAGGTTCTTCGGAAGGGAGATTTGTCTCTTCCATATATACTTTCATGGGGATTGTTCAAGTGACTTGGCACATTTGATCCCACCAAGAGTGGTACATATCAGAAATACGCGACGGACTGTGGCTGCTCATCGTTTTGAGGTTAAACTCAATACACCTCGAACTTCACTGTTTAATAACTCTTTCATTTGGAGAACTGCGTTTATGTGGAATGAACTTCCCGAGAACGTTTTTACAAATGGATTTAATCTCCAGCAATTCAAATCCAACGTGAATCGCTACTTTCGCACAGGCAACGTTCCCAAAGCGACTTAAGGATTCTCCTGTAGTGCTTGTGTTTTGTCCTGAAAAAAAAATACTCGCAGATTGTACGGTAACTGCTTCAATTAAAATAAAGTTATACCAGACTTTGAAAAAACACCAGGTCTATTTTTTGGAAAAGGAGAGATCATCGCAAACACCGCACCACAGTAAGCCCCCTCACTTGTATGGACTACCCAAAATCCATAAGAAGGGTGTTTCGCTCAGATCGATCAATAGCTCAAGAGATTCAGTTACCTACTCAAAATTTGTCCAACCATTACAAGGAAAAACTTCATCTTTTGTGAAGAATTCAAAACACTTTGTCGAACTACCAGGGGCAATCGAAGTCACAAAGCAAGATCAACTAATCCGTTTCGACGTGCAAAGCTTTTACACCAACGTTCCTGTCGAAGAAGCACTTCAAATCAAACAGTGGAAGCTATCCGAAGACGGGGACCTGGAAGATAGAACGAACTCACCTATAGAAGTATTCTTGGAAATACTAGGATGCTGTGAAGGATGATTTCTTTACGCACCAGTTATAGCCAACATGCATATGGATGAGGTACGTTGACGACACCTTCATAATATGGAACCATGGAAATACAGAACTAGACACCTTCCCGAAGCACATCAATAGCGTAAGGCCTTTCATCACTTTCACAATGGAGAAGGAAGTCCACAACGAATGGCCATTCTTAGACGTATTGGCGAAGAGGACCGACACTAAGTGGGAAACATCTGTATACGGAAAACCCACTCAGACTCAGAAAGGAATCATCAAGACTCTAGTAGACTGTACTTTCGGGCGAAGGGAGGTCTCGAGAAAGAAATAGGCATCATCAAAATTGATCGTCAACGGAATAGTTACTCCAAAGTGATGGAGGAACAAACTTTGGCTCAAAGACAGTAAGACCCTCGCAAGGAAGAGAAGCCGTCACAAACAGTACTTGCACTTCCCTATAACAGAGGATTGTCGGAAAGGATAATAAGAATTGGGTCAGAACATGTTTCAGATCCGGAAACACTACAGCGTTACAAAAGCCAGGCCACCAAACGCTGACTGCGATTCCAAGAATTGCATTCAGCCAAGCTAGCGTAGAAATACACAATATATGGAAACCCATAATCAAGCGGAAAACGACCAACTCTTGTCAAACGGTCAGCTCCCGGAAACGTAGAGAGGGAAGGGGGATACGTGAAAGCACTCGAATGACCTATAAATAGTCATCTCTCGGATAATTGAGTCCAGTCATCACCCGAAGACGATTGTAGGTACTAATAATCGAAACGTCGTGAAGAAACTTGGCTAGAAATCTTTAATTTTTTATCGTTCAATTTTCAATTGTTGCTTGTATTTTATTTTATTGTATTTTCATTTCAGGTTTTTTTGTTTTCAGGTATTTTTGTCGGAGGCTTCATTAAACACTGCTTGTAAGTCAAACCACAGTCATCATCTTTGTCAACTCATATTAGAGTGTGCTGGATTTTTTCGTGAAATCCCAGGTCTGTTGAAAAAATAAGAAGAATGTTAAAATTTCGCGGGCTACGTTCAATTACCGATTTTTTAAATTTTTTTATGTTGGTACACTCCTCTCGAACACATCTTCACAGTTTCAACTGTTCAGCATGTTTTGTTTGTTGGTGACAGTTAAAAGTGTTTTGCGTGTTCGATTATTTTCTGCTATAGAAAAAAAAATGGTCAAAGAATTTGCATCAAATTTTATGCAAAAATGGAATTAAGTGCTGAAAAACACTAGAAATGTTAACAGAGGCATACGGTGATGATACTCTGAGTCAGAAAAATGTTTACGAGTGATACAATGTCAAGAAGATGTGAATGATGACGCTCGCCCTGGACGCCCCAGCATATCACAACCGATGAAAATGTTGAGGGAGTGAAGAATATTGTTACGGAGAATCGTCGAATCACTATTAGAGAAGTTGCTGAGGATGTCAGCTTATCGATGACATTTTTTCGGAAATATTGTGCAAGAAGCATGTGGCAGCGAAGTTCGTTCCAAAATTGCTGGATTTTGACGAAAAAAAAAAACGTTGCATAAGCATCGCTCAGGAATTGTTGAGTGATGTCAACGGCGATCCAGCTTTGATTGAAATGTCATAACTGGTGACAATTATGGGTATATGGTCCTAATTTCGAAAATAGTCGAATCGTCCCAATGAAAGAGCTCAGGAGAGTCAAAACCAAAAACGCACGCCAAGTTTGATCAAATGTCAAGGGTTTGCTCAATTTTTTCCTCGATTACCGTGTTGTAGAACATCAGTAGTTCTTGTCACATGTTCGTGTGGTCAGTAAAGAGTATTATCTTAAAGTTATGCTCCGCTTGCAACAAGCTAAACGAGAAAATCCTCCGGTATTGTGGAGAAGCAATTCATGGTTTTTGCATCACAATAATGCATCTGCTCACTCGTCATTGTTTGTACGTAATTCTTGGCCGTTATCATGCCTCAGCCACCGTATTCACCAGATTTGGCCTCCAGTGACTCTTTCCTGTTCCCAAGATTGAAGAGATCCATAAAATGACGGTGGTTTGCGACGATTGAGGAGATAAAAACCGAATCGCTGAGAGAGATCAAGAACATACCAAAAAGTTAATATCAGAACTGCTTCGAGGATTGTAAAAAACGCTGGCACAAGTGTATTACATCTGAGGGGGACTACTTTGAATGGAGGAAAATAGAAATTGATGAATAAATAAATATTTTTTGAAAAAAATTTAAATTCACCTTATTTTTTTAACAGACCTCATATAAATAAATAGTTCTGCTCTGGAGAGCGGCAAGGTTTTTCAGATTTCCAGGTCAATGATTTTTTTTTTATTTTGTATTTCGTTTCAGAACATTTATCCAGATTGCACATGATCTTGAAACCATTTATGCTGAGGAGGATAAAGAAAGATGTGGAAAACGAGTTGTCAGACAAAATTGAGGTGATGGTTTATTGTCCTCTAACAACAAGGCAGAATTTGCTATATTTGGCGCTAAAACAAAAAATAAAAATCGAAGATTTACTGCATTATACAGTTGGAGGTGGTGATTCACATACTGTAGACAAAAATTTCACTTCCAATTTGATGAATTTGGTAATGCAGTTCAGAAAAGTGAGTAGAAAACATATTTGAGCGAACTGTAGTTATTCACAGAGTGGGTTTCCTTTGTAGGTTTGTAATCATCCAGAGTTATTTGAGAGAAGAGATGCCAAATCTCCAATAAGGATATTACCACTACAGTATCGTATTCCCTATATCATTTACGATGCGAATATCAGGCAAATAATGGCTTTGAAATTTAGAAAACATTTCATTTTTCAACCAAATCACATTGCAGATAGTGTCAATAATAATTCTAGTGACACAATATTTAATTTCTGTTTGTCCTTAAACTTATCTGTCAATGATATCTACAGAATTTTACAAGGAGATATTTTACACAGGTAACAAATTCTCTCATCTATGTTTATTACTAAAAGTTTCATTTGGTCAATTTTCAGATGGCGTCACTACTACGATACAATTGAATCTGAATATAAGCATTATCATGAACACCTTTGGAATCCGCGTTTGTGTAGGAGTTCCATTAGAATGAACCACACATTCAAATTATGCCCGGCACAAATAGAGAGTAGTTCCTTGCTCTCTGATTTAATTTTCACAAGACAAAGTAAGGGGAATAGAGTCTTCTATACCTTTACCGACCATAAGTATCATTCGATGCCAGAGACTATCGAGCATAAGAATATACGGCTGAAGAATCGAGATTTTTTTTGCGATGACTCTGTTATAGATACTGTAAGTGAAAAAATAGAGGTAGGTGCTTTATTTGATATATTCTTCTGGAACATATTTGTTCGCCAGTTTGCAGTTCTTGAAAAAATATTCATGAGATTCCTGAACTATTGTGTTTGTGAGAAAAAATGTATACTTTTTTGGAGTATTTAATGCGAACAATTTCCGTCATTAAATCATTTTTGATGTTTCTTTTCAAGAAGAACAAAAAATATTTTATATTTTCAGTTTTGAGTTTCAACTTGTCTCTGCAAATCATTTCATTCATACACAAACAACTCGACTCACAAAACATATTGACCTCTTTGGCAGAAATTGAAATTATTTAAATCGTTTTTCATTAAAGTTTTTTTATGTGTTCACATTCACAGCGAAATTTGAAGGCAAATTGTCAAATTTTTGTTTTTTCTCAAATATTTCCTGAACTATCAGACTATGAGGAAGATCATGTAATCGTTTCTTTGCAATTTTCGATATTATGAATACTTTTTGAAACTCTAAAATAATTTTTAACCGAAAATCTTCCTGAACTGTCGAAGACGGAAAATTTACTTTATTATGTTGTGAATTTATCTCGTAAACATTTTTGTAATTTTTAAAGGTCAATAAATATCTTATCTTTTAACGTGCGATTCGGGTTCAACTATAGGCAGTGAAAATCGATTGTCCAGCTTGAACTACCGTTTCACTTGACAGTCAATTGAATAAATGGAACAAACCACTCACGCCAACCCAACTGGCTAACTTCCCACCGTAATATTGTTGAAAGGAAGTTATGATCACTAATTCAAATAATACTTTATTGTGAGATTTCCACTTTGAAAGTTTACAAAACAGCAACAAATGTTTCACTATACCATAGGTTCCTCAGGCGTGGGTATGATCACGCCTGAAGAAGCTATTATATAGCAAAAAACGTGTTGCAGTTTTGTAAAAACTCTTCAGTAAAAATCTCACAGTGAAATGTTACTTGGATACATTGTTACGTTTTATCCGTGAGCTTACCAATAATTGACTACACTGATCAATTATCAAACTCAACTTCATTTCACTTTGAATACAACAAAACACTTGAACTAAAACTTCAACTATTATTCAAATTTCAATCGCCTTATTAGATTACTCCGCGTACCGCACTGTCACTTCCACTTGACTATTCCAATAGGCGCGAGGTAGCGTTTATATTTAGCCGATAGCATTATTCTCTCCACGTCTACATCGGCTGCGAACATCGAAGAACCGCGAAATGTGGGCGCGTTCTTACCCACGTCACAATTGGTTTATGGCTATCAATGGCGGCCGGCGTTATTTTCTTTAGGGCATGATATACAACAACATTATGGATTTTCAAGTATCGGCCAATTCCATCACATAGTCACTAATATCGTTATTATTTTATTGAAAATAGTTGGTACCAATCAAACTCATTCTCTGAAGCTCTGTAACATGACTTTTGTTACATTTATTTCATGTAGAGAAATACTTTTGGAGGAATTATGAAGAGCTGGCTGTTCAAAGTGAGATAAACTATAATTGGTAAAATTAATAACAATGAATTTTTGCTCACTTAAGGAGTTGTGAGATGTTGAAGAACTTTCTGTCAACTAGCTTCTATATTTTTAATTATATCTCCTTTTCCACTTTTTAATCTTCGATCTCTCAGTTTCCAGTTTATCTTTCAACTTTTACAAATATTACATTTTCTATGGAAGATTTGATTTGTGGTATGCAGACATAATGGAGGTACAAATTGAAGAAGTGATTTGACTGTAATTCCTCTTGGAACTCTGATAACATGATATTTTACACAGGTAACAAATTCTCTCATCTATCTACTCTCGTAAAGCAGCTTGGGATTTGCAACGCCACATTGATGATTATAGTTTTAATTCTATGAATTATTACTGGTCCCAAGCGACAACTCAGAAATTCAAATACAAAAGTGCAGAAAGCTTATATCCTCAGCCTCACAGTTGTGACGATGACATTAGGCCAATAAATGGTTGGTCGAACATCGTTATACCTGACAAAGAATGTTTAGTATCAGATTCTGGAAAGCTGTCCGTGTTGGATGGACTGCTGAAGCGGCTCAAAGAAGAAGGACATCGTGTTTTAATATACTCTCAGATGACAAAAATGATTGATCTGTTAGAGGTAAATTTGAAATAATTCAGGTGTAATAATTATTCTATAGTATTATCACAGGGTACATTCAAAGTTGTTATTGTCTTTTTTCACAGGAGTATATGTGGCATAGACATCACAAGTACATGAGGCTTGATGGTTCATCAAAGATATCTGAACGCAGAGATATGGTAGCGGATTTCCAAGCCAGAACAGACATTTTTGTCTTCCTGCTTTCAACAAGAGCAGGTGGACTTGGAATCAATTTGACAGCTGCTGATACTGTAAGTTTCAAAAAAATTTGGAACATTCATAATATCTATTCTGTTTTCACGAGGCTTGCCTTTTATGTTTTTTTAAAGAACCATCAGTTGCCGTTACAGAAACTCCATTGAATTTTATTTCAGTTCATTTTAACCTTACATTTTTCATAACATCCTCTACAGAATATAATAAAACTACTAGGTGATGAAATATAACAGTCAGTTGAAGTCAATTGATATATACAAAATGCAATATTTGTCGTTCTCTTAAAAGTACTGACACAATTTCAATATAATTGCTTTCCTTTGGATTATTATGAATGTTTTCGGCCCAAAGAGTATCTGTGTCTTTTTTTATGAACATATAATATTGTCTTTGAAAAAAAAATGGAGAGTAGCCTTAACATTTCCAAATCTATAAAGGCAGTTATGGTATGATTTCAATTCATAAGTTACGACATGTCCTTACTGAGGTATGTGTTATTGCTTTCAAGGTTAGAGATACGCTGGCGCCCTCGTGGTCACTGACTATATTTATGAGTGGCCGGGTGGGGGACACTCTTGACCATTCATGCAAGTGTTGTTCAGCCGGTCTGGTCTGCTTAATTGATCCGGTCATTCTCGCCATACTGTTTGTAAAGGTGGTCTCTAAATTATGTTGATCTTCATGAATTCTTTCTTTTGATAGACTTCAATTCTCTCACGAATTAATCAGTTATAAAAGTCTGAGAAGTGTCTTCAAAGCATAGCTTGTGCGCTCTAGTGCTTAGTGTGTGCTCTGCAATAGCTGAGTTCTCTTTGTGTGTTCCAGTCTGCAGACTCCTTTGAATTCTGCAGTCTTCATGTTAACTGAACGCCTAGTTGTGTCATATATACTTTCCCACCGGAAATCAATCAAACATTCAGTCCACACGAACACTGCAGAACAGACACTACAGGCTAGGATACATCAAAATATCAAATGTGGCAGAGATTGCACCAGAGAAGAAAACATAAACGAAAATGAAATTTGAACACCAGCTTTACAAAACACCAGTACAGCAAAAACGCCCGGACTGTCTGAGCAGACCAGACCAACTAACTGAGTAGATCAGACTGGCTGAAAAACCCACACAAGATTGGTCAGGACTACTGCCCTCCTCTCTGACCTTGGAAGTGATAAAACGGATCTCTGAAGATGCCAGTCACTCATGACGGGGATATATAGAAAGGAATTCTAACAAATTACGGACCAAAACCCAAAAACACAGTTTCAAAAGATGGCTGCGAAAGCCCAAGTTTCCTTATTTTAATTCATCATAAATATACAGTCCTTACCTGGATTAATGTCAGAGGGACTTCATTGGTTCTCTTCTCAATTTGTATTTGTATGAGTTTTGCTTTTATTCAATCATAAGCTGTTTGAGTCTGCAAACCATATGCCCGTTGGCTCTTAGATACATCTAAACTCATAATGGATATAGATAACGCACAAGTGTTGTTTAAACAATTTGGCAAAATAACTTATTTCAATTATTACAAGCAAATGAGGAATATGATGACTTCAGCTATAAAAAGTGGATACTTCTCCGATGAATCAAAAACTTGATGAATTTTGGACAAAAAACATACTTCAATGTGAGATTTTCACTTGAAAGTTTACAAAACTGCAGCACGTGTTTTGCCACACGGTAGCTTCTTCATCCAGAAGGCTATTAGTGCTTTGAATTTTGATGTATATAATCTTGTGAAATTTTATTTGAATTATTGTCTAAAGTTGAATCCAAATAAACTGTTGTAATTGTTTTTTGGTAGAAAGAATGCAAGAGATGAATTCATTGAAAACAATTTTGACAGTATTCAGATTGGAGGGGGTCCTATAACACTCTAATAAAGTCAAGAATCTGGGTTGTTGATACCAAGACATGAGATTTTTCTATCATATTATCACATATATAAAAAAAGCCTAATGTAATCTCAAACTAATTTATCAAAATAGACATATATTGAACAAAATAATCGAAAGTTTACCATATAATTCTCTAGTGTTATCCAGAATGAATTTCTCCAATGTTCTGTATGCTCCTTCTATGAAATCTATTGACATTGAATGGATTCAAAAGCTCCAAAATAGTTGCTTGAGGTTGATTTATAGTATTAAAAAATTCGATAGGATTTCATCTACTTCGAAAATTAATAACTGGCTGAATATGAGTGATCAAAAGTTCCTTCATTCTGCTTACTTCTTTTACAAAAATTTTAAATACCAAACCCCCTACCTATTTGTACAATATAATAACTTATTGCTCTAATGTACATCATATTAACATTCACCAAAAAAGTGTACTTACTCCTCCAGTTTTTTACACATAATTTCACAGAAGATCATTCTCTTATAACATTGCCATTGTTAAAAGAACTCTTGTTATTGACTTTCCGGACGCATATTATTAGTTCTCGCGATGGTATGATCTGGATGTTTTTTTTTTCTGATAAATGAAAATGTATTTACTAGCTTAGAATGATTATTCTATCTTTAAAAATGTTATACCCCAAAAAAAGTGCATTATTTTTTTTACTGGCATTTAATAGTCTGTATCGGGTTGGGTGGAAGAACACACGACAATCTGTACCTTCGGTGCCATACTAAATCTCACCCAATTATATAATGCTCATGTGAAACTCAAATAAAAAATTAATGAAGACCTTCATTATTATTATTATCATTATTAGTTAATTGAAATAACCTTCATATTTTCATCAATTCTTATTTACTGTCAGTTTTAATAATGAAGGATGCATCATTAGCAATAATTATATAATTGAGAAAGTCATATATAAGATAAATAGCAAAAAACTCAAGATAGACCTGTTGAAGAAATGATTTTAACACATCAATATCATCCGATTCCATATATCATGAGTTTTTTCATTCAGATTTTTATGTGAAACACTATCAAAAACTTCAATTCACCATAAAGAATGCATTTGCACAGAGTATCCTATAATTTTACTATTCGCTATTTGGTGAATTATATTTGTAAGTGCTGAACAAAGTGTTCAGAAGCTATATTGATAACCATATTCTTCACAGAAACCAGTTTTGTGATCTAACACCCAGGATTTCTCTTTTCAAGGTTATATTTTATGACAGTGATTGGAATCCCACTGTCGACCAACAGGCTATGGACAGAGCACATCGTTTAGGGCAGACAAAACAAGTCACGGTTTACAGGTTGATCTGTAAAGGGTCTATAGAGGAGCGTATTTTGCAAAGAGCCAGGGAAAAAAGTGAGGTAATTTGAGGATCATTTGGTTTATTCATTTTATATCGTCCAATTTATTTTTAGATTCAAAAACTTGTTATTAGCGGGGGCAATTTCAAACCAGACACCCTGAAACCAAAGGAAGTTGTTTCCTTGTTATTAGATGATGATGAACTTGTACAAAAATGTAAGTGAAGAGAATCGTAGGAACTATTATTGTGAAATTATTATTTTTTGTTTATATTATATAAATAATGTATTCAATTATTATCTAATTTTAGATCACCTGAAGATTGAAAACCCCTCTGAGGAACAAAAAGAGTTGGAAAAGAAACAGAAAATACTGTATAAGGTGAGTTGTAATTTTTTCAGAATGTTAAATCTATTCAAACAGTTGAAAATGCAGGTGAAAAATTATTTTCAAAATCAGAATGACTCAGAACTTGCTGTCAAAACCAAATGTAATTAAAGAACATAGGCTGTCACGGAGAACAAAAATTGGGCTGATATGCTGTGGTTAAATGGGATTTGTAATACTGAACGTTTCGTCTGCTACTGCGGCAGACATCATCAGTGGTTAGTGAATTGCGAGGACGAGGTTATATTTCAAGTCTCAGCAACAACTGTCAGTCGTTGCTGATGATGTCTGCTGCAGTAGTAGACGAAACGTTTGGCATTTCAAGTTTCATTTGACCAAGGTCTACCAGCCCGCATTATGTTCTCTTTAATCAAAACCAAATGTGTTAAAATAAACAAACTATTGGGAGAATATCTGATGAAAACTTTGTTTACAGACTGTGCCGGGTGCAGTCAAAACAAAAAAACTTAAACAAGAAATTCCAGCAACCATAACAGGTCCAGAAGACAGACCAAATAGTGCTAATGGACATGTTGACAGTGCTCCCAATAGCCCTTACAGCACACATTCAGACATTTTAGCAGATGACATAGTAGATGGGGGATATAATGATGATGTTGATTCACCAATTACACATAGTGAGTATTTTTCTCATTTTCACTATCTACTTTATTAGAATATAAACATTAATCTGAATTATAGTCGAGAATAGTTTTCACAGTTGTATGTTTAGTTCACTAACGACAATTATTGCTGTATTGACCAATTTGTAAGTCAGTGAGTTACACATTTCTCTTATTATTTGAAGCATCATTATTGAAAAGTATTTGATTTTGTTGATTTCCATGCAGTTGTGTCAATGTAAGGGTTTTAAAATGTTTCAACCATACAATTTCAAAAAGAATAAATTCAAACATCATATCTTGAAACCAATACATCAAGATTAAAAATATATTCTACTGTATAGGTCTTATATATTTCAGTTTTTTTGTATTTTGTTCAATAACTGATATATTTGTATAATATTTATGTATATTAGGATATCTATTTCAAATAAATCTATTTTTATTTCTATGTATACTACAATGGAAAATAACCATTTAGTGCAAAGAATAATCAGAATTACCAAGGGACTGGTTAAAAAATTATATCCTGTAATACATGGCGTTTGATCAGTATTCTATTAAGAGACATGTACAGGGAATTCTGTTTATTCCATGTAGTATACCTTCAGGAGGTTCACTGTCTTCAACATATACTTCATGAATATTTCTATTTGAAAATTATTTAGTGGATCAGAAACCCTGCATTTGAATTTTTATGTGTAGTTCAAGCGATCCTCCCACAAGTAGATATTTCTTTATAGGTGACAAATAACCCTTTATATTTGTTTATCGCTTATGCAAAATATAGTCCGAATATGGCATTTTGAAAATATACAAAAAGGGGGAGATTCCAACAGGCCTTCGTACATACCAAAAACATGAATATATCTAAACTTGGAGAGACTTCAAAATTTGAAGTGGCTATGCAGCAAAACAATTTCTATGGGTTGTATTCTCCATCAGCATAGCAATACTGAGTTTTAAAAAAATCTGTTTTTTGGTTAACCAGCTATCGCTGGTAATTTTTCTGTTTCTCTATAGGCATTCGATGAAGAAATTATGGTTTTCAAATATGTATAGTGAAGGTTTGGTAAAATAATTATCAACAGTTGTGATATATTTGTAAAAATTCTGTGATAAGTCAAAATAATTTTTTTAGCATTTTCAGAGAATATACTATAATTTTGAGTTATTAGTTTGCTACTTTCTCTACTAAATATGGTGGCGTAAAGTGTTCTTCATACGTTAATTGGTAAGCTTTCCCTAATTGCAGTCCAACCTGAAAAACTAAAGTGAATCATGATGTTGGCCCTCACCCTTCAGGCCTGTGGCGTCAACGGTTAGAAAGCATTTGTGATATAAAAGTTGAGGACTTTAGATTGAACTTTGAGTATTTTATAGTATTTAGTGTGACCCATTTAAGATGGAAGCACCCTTATAAAGTCTTAATTTCCCAGCCGAATTGAATAATTCTTTTTGCATTAGGTAGACATTCAAAAAGTCTACTAGGACACCACATTTCATGAATTATTCGTCATTTTCAGGGCCAACTATTTTAATTTTTCAAGGCCAAAACATTTTAAAAAATTGTTTGCGTTTCATTTACAAAAATTCTGACTACACCACTGGATTCCTGACGTTTTCAAATGGTCTATGTCAAAGTTACGAAGAAATGCTTCCAATAATCAAAATGTTATAAGTGAATTAAATTAGAAAAATATGCTGTTTAATCAACCCACCACTTCAAAGTCAGAAGTTTCATCTAAGTTCTGACTACACCACTGGATTAATGAGGTCTCGAGAAATGACTGTTGAAAATTTCAACAAAATCTGTTCATCAATCAAAAAATTATAAGGGAGTAGAATTTGAAAAATTTGTCGTTTAATGGAAATCTAGCAAAATTCTGACTACACCACTGCTCCCATTCCACTTTTACCTTTTTGTTCATCTGGCACCCCCCAAAAAAGAATTATTGTAATTATATGCCATTGATGTGTATACGCAACATGTGTATACCCCAAATTCTTTTACTTTATGATTAATTTATTTCTTGAAATATGCTGCTGCGGGTGCGCAATATTGGCTCTAAAAGGGGTTAATGGAATGAGCAAGTAGGCTGCGAATACTTTATCATCTATTTGTTTAGAAATTGTCATTTCGTAATTCACCTTTATCAAACTACGTTTGTAATTCAAAATAAAATTAGATAATGGCGTAATTGTCAATTCAAGAAAAAATCGAAATTATACGTATTTCTGGAGATAATTACCAAAGTGAAAAAGAAATAACTAGAATATTCAATGAAAGATAATCAAATTGTCCAGTCATAAATAACAGCACAGAACATGAAATTAACCTAGTATTTAATCGGGCTGGAGCAGTATTCACGTATATTTTGAAGAATAATATACGAAGAAGGAATGGAAATAATCAGACTATATAAGATTATTTCAGAAATAATCCAAATAATAGTTTGAAGGTGGCCAGCTTAGAGATGAACTTACCAAGACAGAATATTAGGCGATACTGCTAAAAAACAAATTGAAAGCATTCAAACCAAAATTTTTGCATACTCTAGAACCAGGTGATCAAGAAAAACGTTTGGAATTTTGCTTATGGGCCCAGGGTGAGTACCTTAACGACAGACATTTTTTAAAGAATATTTTATTCAGTGATGAAGCTAGTTTCACAAAAAATGGAGTGGTTTCATCACAAAATAGTCGATATTGGGCCATTGAAAATCCTAACTGGGTGATTAACTGTAAAAGGCAGTATTCAGAAAAAGAAAATGTTTGGTGTGGTATACTGAATGAGAAAATAATTGGACCATTCTTTTTTGACAGCAACATCAATGCCGCAAATTTCTCACAATTTTTAAGGAATGAATTGTCGGACGCAATAGAAGAACTTCTCCTTATAGAAACAAGAAATTTATATTTTCAGTTAGATGGCTGTTCTGTTCATAATGCGGGAATTGTGAAGAGTTGGCTGAATCAAAACTACCCTAATCGGTGGATAGGACGGGGGAATAGATTAATTAGACGGCCACCGATATCGCCTGACCTTACTATACTGGATTTTTTCCTATGTCACACAAAATGTCTACAAATCACAACCAAGGCATCGAGCGGAATTGTGCACAAGAATTCAGCAAGCGTGTGCTGCAATTACACCGCAACAATTACGAAATACTTTAAAAAATGTTCGCAAGCGATATGATAAATGCATTGTCTTGAATGGAGGTTTGGTGGAGGCTACAACAATTTGAATTGCAGTCATTTTAGTTTCAACTTGTTATCATCTCCGATCCTATTATGTGCATTGCTTGTGAATAAAAGATTGTTTTCCACTAGTTTGTAGCAATTCGAAATGAATGCAGGTGTTTTTTGATTTGGGATTATTGACATTAAAGTTAGTTTTATAATCGGTTTCATTCATATGATTCATACATTTCATACAATTTTCATTTATAACTTTTTTATTATTGGATGCATTTCTTCAAAATTTTGACATAGGCCATTTGAAAACGTCATGAATCCAGTGATGTAGGTAGTCGGATTTTTTGTAAAAAAATAGCTAATTTTTTTTTATTTTTGACCTTGAGAAATAAGAATAGATGGCCCTGAAAATGACGAATAATTCATGAAATTTGGTGTCCTAGTAGACTTTTTGAATGTGTACCTCATGGAAAAAGAATTATTCAAATCGGTTGAGAAATATAGATTTCATAAGGGTGGTTACATTTTAAATGGGTCACACTGTATTATTGATGAATAGGAGAGTTTAATTCGCATTTGAGGAAAATATTGATTGTTGAGTTGCAATAAGTCTTTCACGGCTGCTGGAGTCATGATAAAAAAAAAATCTGGGCTGGTAGGCAGGAGTTGAATGGAGCCTGAAGTTCCTGACTTTTTGCTTACTATTGCTGCATATATCAGGACAAAGGCTATATTTCAAAGTCCTAATCTAATTTTCAATCAAGTAGGCTGTTTTTTAAGTTTTGTTGAAATTTTGGGCATGTGGAAAACTAAAGAATGAAACATGAGCTCATTAAAGAATATATCCTTTTATGTATATGCCTTTTATGTATATGTCTATTTTTTTCTAGAATACACTGTATATAATGTATATGGTTCAGCGGTAAAGCCCCGATTTTCTGGCCGAGGAACATCAAAACGTGGTCGCCCAAGAGGTTCCAGAAGTCGTACTTTGGGTATGACCAGAAACAATTCAACCTCACACACCTCGTCTTCCAGCGGGGTTTACTCAAGCGGTAAGATTTATTTAGAAGGCTCTTTTGTTTCGCTATTTTCATATGTATCCAACAGGTTGTGCTCATTTTGATTGTTTTGCAGAAGTCAATCCTGTTGATTCAGCCTCATCGATATCTTCGGCTCAATCATCACCTTCAGGTTCTTTCATGGATATACCGATAACTGTGTCTGGGAGCGGTTCCAAGGGCCAGACACCAGCAGTAAGACGGGGACCAGGTAGACCTCGACTCAAGCCGGGTGGGCCTTGCAATGCGGGATCCAGAGGGACTTATAGGCCTAGAAAACCTGCCAGACCCTTGCCAGTGCCCTTACCCTCTGATGGTACTAATTCAACTATTTCAAATGTTGCGAACAATGCTCAGTATTCAAGTTACTCCTTTTATGATTTTCCAGATGATTAGGTTGTGTCATCAATTTTAATTTTGTTTTGTAACTAGCCAGTCTTCTTATTGTAATAATTTTCTAGTCTTTTATTTTGATAGAGTTTTTTTTTTATATATAAGCGTTTTATGTTACTTTTATATTTCATTTATAATTTACCAGTTTTGGTAGGCAAATTGCAACATTGAAAGATTTTTTTAATATAGTTAACTGACTGTATATATCTGCTTATTGAAAACTCTATTGAATAAATATTTTTTGAATCATTTTACATAATTTCTTTAAATGTGGCTACAATGAAAGTTATAAGGACATTATCAGATTTAAGGAACATATATAGTGATGAGTTGAAAACAATTCGGAGGCGTTATCAGGAAGTGCATCAACATTTTAGGAAAACACAGGGACCCATTGTTATTTTATTCTGTCACTTCCAACTGTAAGCGAGGGAAACATTCATTCCTATATTTTTAAATAGCACGTAGATTGAGTAAGATGGTACTTTAAAACCCCAACATTCTCTTTACAAGTTATGTATAGATTTTCAAACTTTGCCTAATAATTAAAAAAAATACATTCATGTATTTGAACTTGTTCAGCTGTTGAGTTGATTAGATGTTCAAACTGATGACTACTTACTTCCATATAACTTCTTCCGAAGTTATATGGAGTTCCACAATAAGCTGGTAGAAACTCTTGATAATGACCTTCATCGAATGAATCAATGATGCAACTCAAAACACTAAAAGACACTAATGAAAAAACAAAAATCCGATAAGTAATAAATCAGGTGATACTACTGAGAGCAGAGGACGACAATGTATGAAGTTTGATAATAATGAAATTGAAAATGTAAGGGTGGTGAAATATTTGGGAGAGTTGATATTGACCAAGGACTTACTTCAAACGTTATAAAAACAGTCACAACATTAACTTTCTAATAAGAATTTCACCAACCCCATAAACCTCAGTTGAAATATTTAAAAAAATTTTATTGCACATCTACAATATAAAACGAACCTACGTACAAAATTTTAGCCTCCGAAAATATAGCGTTACGGAGGAGCAGTGATGAAAAGGTTAGTTTATTTTATGGACGCGCCTGTTTTCTCCGAGGCTGGCGCCCCAGTTGGAATATTTGAAAATCCTTTCTTACTGTGTATCTAAAACCTAAGAAGCACCTATATACCAAATTTTAGATTAGTGTTGAGTGAGTGACTTTCGCAAGTATAAATTATATATTATGAAAGAAAAACATGTCGTTATAGTACAATATTTTTTTTAGGTACAATGTATTGTTAAATGAAAAAATTATACAAAATGTACATTTGTCATCTGTGAAGATCATAAATGAAACATGAAAATCGTGTTATGTTTCGAAATCATGAGAGTCCTCTTTTTCAATAAAAATTTTTTTGTTTCATATTCGATCCTGAAATAACTGATTCTTTGGATATAGTTTGGAGGAGAATTGAATGAAATTATGCAATTGTAATAAGGAAGTAGTTTGTATGTTGATGTTATATTGAGTTTTCGAATTTGTAGCTTATTATATAGTGCACAAAATGAACCATGGCTGGTCATAAGTACCACCCCTTATTTGTGAACAAAATTTATACCGTTTAGAACCCTCGATTGCATTCTATTACAGTGCGGTCTTAGGTTAGTGATGAAGTTTAAAATCAAACAACATAAAACTTTCACCATAATTAATTCTAAATCAGAGTCGTATAATTATTTTTTGGGCTATTAAAAACGTATCCCAACATACCTCACCCTATGATACTTTATTGTAAGCATATGGCTATATGCCAAGGCATAATATAAATTCATTAGCTTTTTCTGAAGCTGATATAACAAGTTATCACAAGTTTTGTTCAGTTTTGAGCAAACATACAATATGACAAATAAATGTAAAAAATTTTTGCAATATCTAAACAGAAATAATTATTGGCTCAATATCAAACAAACTATTACAAACTACCTAAATTCGTGTGATATTTGTCAAAGAACGAAATATCATTGGCAAACATTTGGTGTAGTAATGATTATTACTGGAGTTTTTTCCCAACACCAAACCGTTATTTTAACACCTCGAAACGTGCTTCGATCACTAAGTAATCATCTTCAAGAGGAAGGTCAAACTAGTTTAGTTTGATTAGTTTGGGATTAAAATAACGGTTTGATGTTGGGAAAAAACTCCAGTAATATTCATCATAGGCAAAATCTATAGGTACTTTGAGTTTTGACAGAAATTCCTTCTAAACCCTTTCAAATAAATAACATCGATGCTTTTTTTTGATGCCCAAATATATTCGACTATTGAGTCTTTTTCTAAATTTGCTCAAGCAATACCAATTGCTGGCAAATCAGCCATTTACATAGGCAATGCTTTAGTAAAGTATTTTGCTTCTTTTGACCGATAATTCAATAATGAAAAATAAAGTAAAATAACTTGAAATTACACAAAATAAAAGTGAATTTCACCACTCATGGACACTATGAATCTAGCAGCCCCGTAGAAAGACTTTTCTCTCCACCTTAATTGAACATCTATGAGTTTTGAAAGAAATACACCCCAACGAGACAGATCTTATCAATAACGCCATATTAGGTTATAACATTTCAATTTACAGTTCAGCTGGTTTTAAGCCGTTTCAATTAGTATTTGGTCATATGAATTAAAGAAGTCCAGAAGAAACTTTCAACCCTGAAGATTTTTTTTTCAACATACGTACCAGAACACAGGTATAAACTAACCGCTGTATATAAAAAATTTTTGGAAAAATTTAAGTTCAGCAAAAAAAAACAAACATCAAAGGTAACACAAACAACAAATTGAATATCAATCAGATAGTTTTAAAGAAAAATCCCAAAAAAAAAAATGAAAAACAACAGCTTTTTAGGGCCATCCACTATTAGACAAATCTTAGAACATAACACAGAAGAAATAAAAAAAAAGTTGAAATAATTCACATAAAATAATTAAGAAAGTCACATTTGTTACAGGCTCCATAATCTGAAAATTCAGAACCTCCTGACGTTAATAACAATGGTCAGGGCCAATCCAGTGATTGAAATGAATCCTTCCATTTAAACTTAGTTTCTAAAGAATTGTAACTATTAAACATATTTTTCTCAACGATATTGATTTAAGTATACATGCATTTGAAATAAGAAAATTCAATAAAGAACCACAGTGCATTTCTTTAATTTCCCCCCCCCCTTTTATTTTTTGAACGCGTCAACTCAAAAAATTGACGGAAAAATTGGGATAATGAAATTAATGCATGAATACTTCATTTTGAAGTGAAATTGACAGATGAAACTTTCAAGATGGCAACTGGGCGCCATTTGGGAAAAAAATAAATGGATAGGGGGATCTTGTGACACATCATTTTGAAGCTCCTGACGAATACTTCACAACCCTAGAATATGAAGTCAATATCTTCACCTACTACAAAATGGCGGAACATTT